CCCCCGCCCCCCCCCCCCACCCCCCCCCCCCCCCCCCCCCCACCCCCCCCCCCCCCCCCCCCCCCCCGCCCCCCCCCCCCCCCCCCCCCCCCCCCCCCCCCCCCCACCCCCCCCCCCCCCCCCCCCCCCCCCCCCCCCACCCCCCCCCCCCCCCCCCCCCCCCCCCCCCCCCCCCCCCCCCCCCCCCCCCCCCCCCCCACCCCCACCCCCCCCCACCCCCACCCCCCCCCCCCCCCCCCCCCCCCCCCCCCCCCCCCCCCCACCCCCCCCCCCCCCCCCCCCCCCCCCCCCCCCCCCCCCCCCCCCCCCCCCCCCCCCCCCCCCCCCCCCCCCCCCCCCCCCCCCCCCCCCCCCCCCCCCCCCCCCCCCCCCCCCCCCCCCCCCCCCCCCCCCCCCCCCCCCCCCCCCCCCCCCCCCCCCCCCCCCCCCCCCCCCCCCCCCCCCCCCCCCCCCCCCCCCCCCCCCCCCCCCCCCCCCCCCCCCCCCCCCCCCCCCCCCCCCCCCCCCCCCCCCCTCCCCCCCCCCCCCCCCCCCCCCCCCCCCCCCCCCCCCCCCCCCCCCCCCCCCCCCCCCCCCCCCCCCCCCCCCCCCCCCCCCCCCCCCCCCCCCCCCCCCCCCCCCCCCCCCCCCCCCCCCCCCCCCCCCCCCCCCCCCCCCCCCCCCCCCCCCCCCCCCCCCCCCCCCCCCCCCCCCCCCCCCCCCCCCCCCCCCCCCCCCCCCCCCCCCCCCCCCCCCCCCCCCCCCCCCCCCCCCCCCCCCCCGCGCGCTGCCCCTTGTGGCCCGCCCTTCGCCCCTGCAGCCTGCGAGCCGCCCTTCCAGCCCCACGCGCCGCCCCTGGTGGCCCCCTAGCCGCCCTTGCTGCCCTACTAGCCGCCCCTTGCGGCCCTCTCGCAGCCCCTGCAGCCCCGCGTGCCGCCCCTTGCGACCAGCCCGCCGCCCCTAGGCCCGCCGGCCGCCCCTAGGCCCTCGAGCCGCCCCTCTTGCAGCCTGCGCACCGCCTCTTGCAGCCTGCTTACCGCCCCTTTCTGCTGCGTGCCCTGTTCCCTGCGCTGCCCGGCCTCTGCCGCCTTGCGTGCTGCGCCGCTATGGCTTCTCTCCGCGTTCTCGCATTCGTTCATGAGGGCCGACCGATCCAGTTTGACACGTGGCTCGACGACCTGCAGCTGTACCTACTAAGCGACTCTAGGGACAGCGTTTCGTTGTTTGACCACACGTCTGGTGCCGCTCCCGCCCCTCCCGCCACAGCTGACCGTGCGACTCGCTCTTAGTGACTTACTCGTGACGATGCTGCTCGCTTAGCCATTCGCAACCACCTGCTGTTAGCCGAATGCGCTCACTTCGGACAGCACTGGACAGCACAGGCACTGTACGACGCTGTAGTCGCCCGTTACTCCTCGCCTGCCACTGCTGCTCTAGGCCGTCTTCTACTACCCTACCTGTTTCCCGAGCTATCCGCCTTTGCCATAGTAGAGGACCTGGTTTCCTTCCCACCTTCGCACTAGCGACGCTCGCTACCGCGCTGCCGTCCAACCTGAGTTCCTAAACAGGAACCAGCCCCCGAAGTTCATCACTCTCCACTTTATAGTCACCCGCCTCCCTGACTCTCTTCGCTCTGTCAGAGACCACTTTCTCTCACTTGACCCCACAGTCCTCACTATTGACCAACTCGAGCAGCACCTCCTTGCAGCTGAGCCTAGTGTGGTCGCTGTAGGTGCTGCTCGTGGCACTCCGCGCATTGCCCTTCTTTGAGGGGTGCTCCCCCTCCCCCCTTGCCCCCTCCTACGCCTTTGCTACTGCTGCTGACGTCCATCGTGCAGAGGACGTCAGGGCTGCTTCTGCTAGTGCGAAGCACTGCAACAGTAAGGGTAAGGGTGGTGGCGGTGGCAGCGGGGGTGGTGGTGGGGGCAGCAGTGGAGGTGGTGGAGGCAGTGGAGGTGGTGGCGGTAGTGGGAGTGGTGGCGGGAGTGGGGGCTTTGGTGGAGGCGCTGGTGGCAGCAGTGGGGGTGGCGGTAGTGGCGGCAGTGGGAGTGGTGGGGGTCGGGCTGGAGCTACTCAGCGTGGAGGTTCTGGCGGTGGCCAGAGGTAGCGGGCAGCATCGCGGAGCAAGACCACGTCGCCCCAGCAGCTTCGTGAGTGGTTTTCTCAGCGTGGGGCGTCTGGGGGTAGTGGTAGCTGCCCGTATGTCATTCGCACGGGTGACCGTGCTGGTCAGACATGCGGGAAGCCTCACACTCAGCACCGCTGCTTCTCCCGCCTCGACGATGCTTGGGCAGAGCTGCTTAGGTCTGGACTTGCTATCTTTGACCTAGACTATGATGCTATTCTTGCTGCTATGTATGCTTTGTCTATGAGTTAGAGGGGGGCTGTTACCTGTGTGTGCCGCCTGACCCAGGTATAGAGGCTGCTGCTCTAGGTGCTAGTGAGTCTGCTCTCCGGTCAGACTAGCTGACCCCTCCGGGGGCCCAGTCCTTGCCCGCTCCTCCACTGTTCTCCCGTGTCCGGCGGTTGCGTCCGGCTCACTGTCAGGCCTTCACCTCCCCTTGTTCTCTACGAACTTGGTGAGTACCTCTGCCCTCCAGGACGTGATGGTCACTACCACCACTCCTGGGGGTCAGCGTGTGTCGATCTGCACGTGTACACGGATGGGCCGCCACCTGGCCACGTTCACTCGTCGGCCTGGGTCGAGTCTGTACACACTGGCTACTGAGCCTCCTCAGGTAGCTGCGTCTGCCCAGGTGTCCGCGTCATGTCCGGTAGCACCCCCTTGTTCGTGTCGCCTCCTGTCGCACCAGACTCTCCTATGGCACCACCGCCTTGGTCACCCCTCCCTGCAACGCCTTTGTGGCATGCACTCCCGCCTCCTTGTCTCTGGTCTTTCCAGGTCTCTGCCTCCCCTCCCGCCCTCGCCTGCCCCGCCCTGCCTTCCTTGGGTCAAGGGGCGGCCGCGCGCCGCTCCTCACTCCTCCTCGTTTCCCCCGATGAGTGCTCCCCTACAAACTCTCCACATGGACGTGTGGGGCCCTGCCCGCGTCAGAGGATAGGGCCGCGAACGCTACTTTCTGCTGGTTGTTGACGACTACACATGGTACACCACGGACTTCCCCTTGCGCAGCAAGGGTCAGGTCATTGATGTCTTGATCCCTTGGATCCGCGCAGTCCGTCTCCAGCTCCGCGAGCGGTTCCGCCACGACCTTCCTGTCCTGCGTCTACACTCTGACAGAGGTGGTGAGTTCTCCTCCAACCTCTTGCGGGACTTTTGTCGTGGAGAGGGCATTCTTTAGTCGTTCACGCTTCCGGACTCCCCTCAGCAAAATGGGATTGCTGAGCGCCGCATTGGCTTAGTCATGGAGGACGCTCGTGCCTCCATGATCCATGCGGCTGCTCCCCATTTTCTGTGGTCGTTTGCGGTCCGGTACGCTGCGCACCAGCTCAACCTCTGGCCACATGTCTCCTTGCCGGAGACCTCGCCGACACTGCGTTGGACGGGGGAGGTGGCGATGCGTCGGTGTTCCGGGTCTGGGGCTCTCGTGCCTTTGTTCGCGATACGTCCGCGGACAAGCTCTCCGCCCGCGCTATCCCCTGCGTCTTCCTTGGCTTCCCCCCTGACGCGCATGGCTGGCAGTTTTACCACCCCACCTCGCGCCGTGTCTTCCCCTCTCAGGACGTCATGTTTGACGAGTCGGTTCCCTTCTACCGTCTCTTCCCCTACCGCTCTGCCCCTCCCCCGTCCCCGCCGCTCTTCCTTGCTCCCGGTCCCCCTCCGGTAGACCCCCTCCCGCCCCAGGGTCCTGCTCCCTCGGGTGTGTCTCAGGTAGACCCTCTCCCTAGTACTGTGCCTTTTGAGGTAGCTGGCGACTCAGGCGCTGCTCGAGGTGCTGCGTCTGGGGGTGCGGAGCCTGGGGATGCGGAGCCAAGGGGCACTGAGTCTGAGGGTGCCGGGTCTGGGGGTGCGGAGCCTGGGGGTGCTGAGTCTGGAGGTGCGGAGCTTGGGGGTGCTGAGACTGCGGGTGCTGAGCCTGAGGGTGTTGAGCCTGGGGGTGCTGAGTTTTAGGGTGCGGAGTCTGGGGGTGCTGAGCCTCGGGGTACGGCCTCTGCTGGAGGTCGTGCGGGTGCTTCACCACGAGTGTCTCCCCGGCCGGAGCCTCTCTCCCTGCAGTAGCTGCGCGAGTGGTTTGCTCAGCGCACCCGGAGTATAGCTGCCAGAGCTGGAGACCCTGCAGCTGGAGGTGCTGGAGTTACTGCTGGAACTGGTGGTACTCGAGGTGCTGCGACTGCTGGTCCTGGAGGTGCTCGTACCAGGGGTACTGGAGCTGCCGGGACTGGTGGTGTTGGGGGTGCTGGAGCTGGAGACCCTATGGAGCCTGGAGCTGCTGGGGCTGGAGGCGCTGGAGCTGGAGGCACTGGCGCTGGAGGCACTGGCGCTGGAGGCACTGGCGCTGGTGGCGCTGGAGGAGGAGGAGCTGGAGCTGGAGGCACTGGCGCGGGAGGCGCTGGAGCTGGAGGAGCTGGAGCTGTTGATTCTGGAGCTGGAGGTGCTAGAGCTGGGGGTGCTGGTGGTACTGGTGCTGGAGGCACTGTGCGGCCGCGACTGTACTTCGTTCCCCTGCTTTAACAGGTTCTTGGTGTCCCGTCTTCTACTGGCCTTACTCCTCCCTATTGTGTCCACCGCCTGACCAGACGCTACCGCTGTTACAGCCAGCCTCCCCACTGCCGGCTCCTTCTCCTTACTCTGAGCAGACTTGTGGCCTTACAGAGCGTCGTGAGCCTGCGTCTCGTCCTGCCTCCCCTGTTCGCACTGGTCGTCGCGTTCCTCTTCCGCGTCCTCCTCCTGTCCCTGGCACACACGCTATGGCACTTCGTCCTTCCTCTGTTCCACTGCGTGTTCCTCTGCCTTCTCCTCCTGATTCCTCTCTTCTTGCCGTCCTTGACCCTTCTTCTGAGTCCACTGCTGCTTCTGCCCTCGTTGCTGAGCTGCTTGACTTTGCTGCTGCCTGTCGTCTAGACTACGCCTTTCTTTTTGCTGAGTCTGAGTCTGCCAGCCCTCCGTCCGTTGGGGGTGAGTGTGCTCTTGGCACGGACGTCCTTGAGGACAGGCAGGAGGACTTTGAGTGTCTTGCAACTGCTGTACCTCGTTTCGCTTCCATGCTGCTTGCCCCTAAGGGAGACCCGGATGCACCAGACATCCCGACCCCGCGCTCTTACGCAGAGGCGATTACGGGTCCCTAATCCTCTCAGTGGCAGACATCCATGGATGCCGAGATGGCATCCTGGAAGTCCATAGGCACCTATGTCGATGCAGTTCCCCCGTCTCGGGCGAACATAGTCGATGGCATGTTGATTTTCAGGGTGAAGCGGCCGCCGGGTTCTCCACCTTCCTTCAAGGCGTGTTACGTTGCTAGAGGCTTCAGTCAACGACAGGGGGTCGACTACTTCCAGACCTTCTCCCCCACCCCGAAGATGACTACTCTTCGGGTGTTGCTGCACGTCGCTGCTCAGCGTGACTACGAGTTGCACTCTCTGGACTTCAGCACAGCTTTCTTGCAGGGCAGCATGCACGAGGAGATCTGGCTGCGCGGCCCACCTGGCTTCACTAGGTCGTTTCCTGCAGGTACCCAGTGGAGCCTCCGGCAGCCAGTCTACGGTCTCCGCCAGGCGCCTCGCGAGTGGCACGACACACTGAGGACTACACTTGCGGCTTTGGGGTTTACTCCTTCTACTGCTGACTTGTCGCTATTTCTACGCACCGACACTTCGCTGCCGCCGTTCTAAGTCTTCGTGTATGTCGACGACCTCGTCTTTCCCACTGCTGACACTGAGGCAGTGACCCTTGTGAAGTCGGAGCTGCAAAAGAGACACACCTGCACTGATCTGGGTGAGCTACACAGCTATCTTACCTTGCAGATCACCCGGGACAGAGCACGGCGCACCATCACACTGACTCAGTCACACATGGTGCACCAGGTCCTTCAGCGCTTCGGCTTGCAGTTCTCCTCGCCACAGCCCACTCCTCTGTCTACTGGCCACTCGCTCTCAGCTCCACCTTCGGATGAGTCCGTAGAGCCGAGTGGTCCGTACCCAGAGCTTGTGGGTTGCCTCATGTACCTGATGACGTGCACACGACCTGACCTCGCGTACCCTCTCAGCCTCCTGGCTCACTACGTGGCTCACGGTAGGCACCAAATGGTGCATTGGGATGCTGCGAAGAGGGTACTGCGTTACTTGTGCAGTACGTCGGGCATGGGGCTCGTGCTTGGAGGACGGGATCCAGTTGTCCTCACTGGTCACGCAGACGCTTGTTGGGTTGACTAGTCAGCTACGCAGCGGTTGTCACTGGGTTACACTGTCAAAATTATATGCTATAGTCTGTTTAGGCTGTAGTGGGGCAGTTCTCATAAGGTACAACAGTTTTAGGTTTCCTAATTGTACCCACCTGCTTTTTAGTTCAGTCATTCATTCGTTCCATATTCTAACATGGTATAATGAGCAGGTTCCCTCGTGGGAACGTTTTTTTTTAGGGCCCACCACGAGAAAAAAAAAAATCCTGCCCTGCCCGAAGCGCGCCTCGCGCCCGCCTTACCTGCGCCGACGCGCGCCCTTCCCTAGCCGGCCCGTCGCGGCCTCTGCTGCCGTCGCGGCCCCTGCTGCCGACGCGGCCCCTGCTGCCGTCGCGGCCCCTGCTGCTATCGCAGCCCCTACTGCCGTCGCGGCCCCTGCTGCTGTCGCGGCCCCAGCTGCTGTTGCGGCCCCTGCTGCCGTCGCGGCTCCTACTATCGTCGCGGCCCCTGCTGCTGTCACGGCCCCTGCTGCCGTCGCGGCCCCTGCTGCCGTCGCGGCCCCTGCTGCCGTCTTGGCCCCTACTGCTGTCGCGGCCCCTGCCGTCGCAGTCCCTGCTGTAGCGGCCCCTGCCGTCGAGGCCCCTGCTGTCGCGGCCCCTAATGTTGCCGCACCTGCAGTCGCGGCCCCAGCCGTCGCGGCCCCTTTGCTGTCGCGGCCCCTGCAGTCGCGGCCCCTGCTGTCGCGGCCCTGCTCTGCACTCGCCCCTGGTAAGCACCCGCGCCGCCCTGCTGCGCCACGCCGCCAGGAGCT